TCCAGCAATATTACAGTACCAAGCAAACATTGCAATAATGTTACTGCAAGTTTTGTGCTGTATGTGAAATTTATAAGAAAGTTCAACTTCAGAGAATTTATAAGATTTCATTTAATATTAATTATCTATCATATTATTAAATTAATAATAATGTTATAATAGTTATAATGGTTACTTATACTTCGGACATGGGAATTTGTTGAGACTTACTTATTGCACATGTATTTTCACTACGCTATGAACATTTGAATGTGAACAATTTTTATTATGATTGAGGATTGCTGAAGATGACTCGAATACAGCTGAAACGTTCAGTTCTTTATTTTATGTAATCAGTAAATACAATCGAAATATTTGTATATGATTTGCGCAATTATTGCATATCAATGGTCTTAATTGCCCGTTTTTTATTTTATTTTTAAATTAATAACGTATACGATATTTTATTTTGTGAGGGAATATCTCGGTTTTCATAAAATTAAGCATATACTTCCCTTAGTCTCTTCAATTATACTCGAATTGACACCATTCGGTTTTTTGCTCAAGCAAACAAGCCCCTAAAAGAGGACAGTGAGTTGATTGATCATACGTGTATCTCGCATTTATATTCGCATTTGTGTGCACTCGTAAGTCGCGACCACGCTTCTAACCCAGTTTTACGTATCAATAGACAGCGATCTGAGTGCCACGAGGTCCGGAGAGGAAAGGGAGAAAATAGGACGGGGGTAGAGGGAAGGAGTGCGAGTGAAAAATCGAAATGACACGGTAAAAGCACCGCTAATGCTCTTTCACATTAACACTCGACATAAAGTATGCTCTCGGTGTAAAAAGCCCCCTGATCGATGAAGCCCGGCGATTGGCTCGCTCGCCGAGCTGGATTGAAATCAACCCCCGGGCTGTCGGGCGAGGGTTTCCCGACACGCGACTATCCCATTGGTTGGCTGACGGTTCCACCCCTCGGCAACTTGTCCCGGTAACATTACCAGTCGCACGGAGTCTCCCGAGCAAGGGATATCCTTCCCTATAAGATCGCTAAAAGTGCCAAAACTTTGCTAGAATACACAAGTGTGAAACTTTAACATATACAAAAAATTAATATAGCACGTTTTCCATGAAAAAATATAGCGATAAATATTTTTAGAATTTTTAGAATTGGTTAGCAAAAACGCTTTTGCTAAAGTTATATATCAAATCATATTTTGGAAAAAAGATTATATCAAATTGTGCTATTTAAAGAAGTTAAATTTTTTCATATGTAAGGAACTCTTAGTTATTGATCTCTGTAAATGGTCGCAATAAAACCAGTTCATATCTTGAAAAATTTACAAATATTTTTTGCTTTCTTTGTAATTGTCAAAAATAAATTATTTTATATATTTAAAAATATCAGTTTAACTTTAATAAATTACTTGCTGTTTAAATAAGACAAAAAAAGTCGAACTTTTCATCAGAAATATATTATTATCATTATATTTATTTTTTAAATGAGACTTCTAAGTATAATAACAATAAAAAAAAATATTCTCCTATTCGACGCTTCTGCCGTGAAAAAGCTTCCCCAAGTTACAGCCGGGTGTCGATGGCAGGGAGGGATATGCGACGAGGAGAACGAGCTGGAGGGATGAACGAGAAATCCCCGCCTCCACGTAGAACCCGCCCTGCGCTTTGAGGGTGCTTGACAAGCGAAACTGCTCGAGGTAGAGAACACTAGCCGTCAAGTGCTCGTCGAGGACACTCAAAAACTACAAGGAGAGTCCTTCAGCAGCTCCGAAAAGGAATCGGTAGCCTGCTTTTCATACCTCACTCGAGCAGAGTCTTTCGCATAATCCATTAATAGTTATTTGTGTTAGTGATAATTGACGAGTGTCTCAAAAAAACGGCGTAAGAATCGGTGATTGGATTAATCGGATTAATTATTCGGATATATGTGCTAGACTTTCGTTGCACATATCCGAATTGCCATTGTGTGAAAAATCAGTTATTTATGGTAAAATAGAAATGACAGTGTTGTGTGACAAAGATAGAAGAAAGTGAAGAAGAAAAGAAGAACTGAAAATATCATGGGCAGCTGCAATCATAGAAAAATAGAAGAGACCAAACAGATTTCTATAAAAGTTACTCAAGCTGAAATAAAGAAATGTACTATAGAAAAGATATAATACACATGCACCGTTAATTTTCTTGAAGTAAGAACAGTAAATTATAAATTAAAGATCTATACGCGTGGAAGATAGAAGACAAAAATTTCAATTTTCATCCGTATTGTGCAAAATGAGTGAAGGTGAAAGAAGAAAAATAAAATGAAAGAATAAAAAGAAAGATAGAAGGAAGAAATCTTCTAAATTATTAAACGAAAAGAAATTAAATTCAATTTCTGATTATTGAGCAGTTGGAAAAGATAAGAAAGCAAAGGTTAGAAAAAACAAATACGTGATGAATTAAAAGAGATCTTTTTAAACCTTAATAGTGCCATCGTTAAAGAGTGTAACATGTATCGACGCTAATAAAAATAAAAATCATAAATTTAAAAATCTCAAAATGGCAGATAAAAATAAGCTTTTACCCTGGCCGTTATTACCATATTCGGCTAGTCTTTTGAATCATGTTTGGTACAGTCAACTCGCATTAAACACTAGGTAAATAAAATAAATATAAGATTGATGTGTTTTTAGTTCCTTTTACTTTTTTAATTTTTTCTAAAATTATTTAATTTAAAACAATAATAAGAGAATTGTTGCACTTATCAGATATATCATTATAAATAAAAATTTCTTTATGTAATTGTAAGAACATGCATAGTGATTAAATTTTAATAATGTATAAGAAATAGTCTAGTTTCTAATAGATAAATTGAAAAAACTTGGGTTTGTCGATCGTAATGTCATTTTTTAAATATCTTTTCGGATTTTTACGACCCTCAAATACTTACATGTGACTTTATTGGCTTCATTAAGATATATCGCTTATTATTGTGCGCTTATTATCATTGATCCGATTGGCTCTCGATATCCTTGATATTTACTAGATCACTTATTGATTGCACATATACTCAACACCAAAAAAATCATCACTAAATACTCTATGTTTACATGACAAGACGTATATTAAGCTCTCGGTGATGCCGACTATATAAGATAATATATAATATATAATTCAATTGCATTTAATTTATATAAGATATTATATTAATATATTTTATAATATAATATAGAGAGATGCAGTACATGAGAGAGAGAGAGAGAGAGAGAGAGAGAGAGAGAGAGAGAGAGAGAGAGAATCAGAATTATATAATTTGATCTAAATACTATGAACTATAAATCCTGACAAATAAAAATATTTTTTCTAATACTTTTAACATTAAAAATAGTTCTGCTTTAAAATTTAAGTTTTGAAGTTTATTACTTATTTTATAATTCTTTCATTACTATATTTGTAAATTCAATTCTCGCTCTAACCTTTGTCTAAATGATGTTTAGCAATGACTATTATCATTAAGATTATCCGGATACAATCTAAGAAACAAAAATAAACTCATTTATGTCCATTTGCTCAAGCACACATTATGTTCAGAGTTTTATATATCTGTGGACTTTATTAATAATTCTAATATCAGTAATTTGGAACTTACAAACATATAGAAGTTCATTTCTAATTTTTATCTTGTTATCTTGAAATATCGTACAATAAACAAGATATCACATAATATAAGATATCATATATAAACTTCATATATTCTTTTTTTTGTAGTTGATTGATTATTTGGAGCAATCGTTTATCTGAATTATCTCTCTAATTTGGATAATTGAAATTCTATTGCATAAAGAGAAACTCTTTAGTGACAAAAAATCATAATGATTTTCTGACGATAAAATTCAAATAATGTAAAAAATATTATAATTAGAAGAGATTGAAATCACGAGCGATTTCAACGCTGGCACTTTCAAATAATTATCGGCTCTAAAAACTTCAATTCAGCGGCATTATCTTTCTGATATTTTAATTTGATTTTTACATAATTAAGTCAAGATGGCATATTAAAATAAATAAATAAATTAGACTTATTAAGTTTTTCTGTGCATAAAATTCTGTTAAATAAAAACCGTCGTTTTAATTAAAATCACGTTCGTAACTGAAAATTGAAACGAGTTAAAACATAACGAAAAATTATATTAAATAATTATCATCTCAACTCGTCGCAAACTTCTTGTGTCCACCAAAATTTTCAAACGGCAGTCTATAAAAGAATGTATTCCAAAAAAGGTTATTCGAAGCATCCGCACTTCGTGCTGGGAATATATTGGAACGTCTAGCCAAACGTGACGCGATAATGGCTCGTATGGCTTAGTAAGCGGGTCCAAAAATTTACTTCTATACACAGGTCCGAAGACAGGTTGATTGTAGTCAAACGCGCACAGGTATTGTACCCTTAAAGACATTTCTTTAATCGGGTCCTGAAAAGGCCGGTGGCTTTTTGACGATCATCACACAGCTTCCGAAACCAGTGACGATCTCGAAAATTAAATCTTACCGTCAAGAAGCGATCTTTGTATTGACTGTCCAACGCAAAATCCTCGCAAAATCCGTTCGCAAAACACATCTATCTTTGACTTCCATTCAAACTTGCTATGAATATACGATATATACGTATATTTTATTAAAATTAAAATTATGTAATATATTAATTAATTGCTGATAAGTATAACATAATATCTGAAACATAATATCAATCTATTCATCGCTGTATCTCGAGAGATTAGGAAGAACTGATTTAATAAGCACGTAGTGTCATGTGAACAAAGTTTTAAGATTGCATTAACAATCTTACGAATCGAATAGTGCACATAAATTCGTAAAATCAAGTGCATATTATCTTTTTACACACCAATTTATTTTTTATGAAAATTCTATATAATATCAAAATTTTTTTCTTTAACATTATTTATATATACAGTATTTGTTCGAGGCTAAAATTATAGTAATTGTGTAATTTTTTGTTACAGGCTATTGGAAAGTATGAAAATGCCGGCTAGAACTTCTGGTTTTGCCATCAGCGACATTTTGGAATTAAACGATGCCAAACCGTCGCAAGAAGAACCAGACGTGCAAGGTAATATCAAAATTATTAGATTATTAAATTAACTAAATTAGATTAAATAGTAATAAAGAAGAACATTTGCTATCTTTGTATTAATTATCTTGTATTAATTAAATATAATTATAAAAATATATCTGATATTAATTTGTTGCAAGTTAGAACTGACAAAATTTATAAAATAATACAATTTTTATTATTTTAAAATATGAATATATTAATTTTATAAAAAAAATTCACCTTAATTAAATTAATGTAGTTTTAAAATCAGAAAAATTTCAAAGTTTTAGAAATTTCTTTACTACGCACATTTTTACTTGGATAAAAGAAGAAAATTAATAAATTTACTATAATACTATGTTCTAGGTACCACGACGGTCTTACCAACGGCTACCGACATGCCGTCGGCTTACCAGCAATTTCTGGAGCACACAACCGCCATGTTGCAACCTATGCACACTAATCTGAACAGGGGTACACTACCACCGCCTCCACCTGGATTATTAGGATGGCCAACTGGACCGGCATTACCAACAACATTACCTCAACCCTTGGAGGAGGTGAATGGTAAGCGAACAAATACAATTATTCTTTATTTAATTGTTTACAAATCGAAGGCATACGCGGCACCAAATTATTAAAATCCATCGCATAATTTTGAAAGTGTATATTTAATTGTACTAAGAAATAATTATTCTTTCTAAATTTCTTGGAGTGACATTTTTTTTTTGACTTCAACGCTGAGAAAAAAGATATGGTAATGATAAATAAAAAGAAGAGAATTATTCACAAGTGGCTGATTAGATTATTTTGTTAAAATAGCAACAACAAAAGTATAATATTTTTTGTTAGATGAATAAAATTTTTTTATTTAGCAGTACAAATTTATTTGGTTACTTACGTTTTGTAAATAATAATGTAAAATTTAGTTGCCATTACAAAATAAGTAATTTCAACAAAATAATCACTATGGTAGAGCGAGAAGTGTTTCAAGGTGCGGTCAAAGATGACCTGTCTTCTCGTAAGAGAAATTCGACATCTATCTGTATAAAGCTGGGACAATTAGAGACTAATTTCATACATTTCTCGGCTCTCGCCACATCATGGCCAATTGTAATAACAACCATTTTTTCAGAGCGATTGGTAATCAAAAATCTAAATCTATTATATACTTTTGCTAAGCTAAGGAAGTTCAAAAATGTCAAACATAATTTCACTCTGTAGAAAATGAGAGTTATATATTATTTGTATGTAATTGTTTTGTTCCGGTAATAAAATGTTTTATTTCTAACTACACAAAAGATCTATAAACATCATACAAAACAATTTTGTATTAAATTATAAGTTCATTTAATAAATTCAACAAATTAATATCGTAGTAACCAACGATTTAATTGGTCATATATCAACAAATAGTTTTTGTGTCAGCAACATAACTTTGGTTCCATACAAAATATTTCTCTCAGTGAAAAGAACGAAAATAGTCACTACTGAAAAAGAGTGAAAATATTTCCACTCTTGAATAAGAGTGGAAATATTTTCACTCTTTTTTGTTGAAAATTTTCGTTCCTTTTTAAGATGAAATTTCATTCTTTTAGAGAGAGATTCACTCCAAAGGAAAGAAATCTTACTAATTTTTTTAAGTAAATCTTACTCCAAAAGATTAAAATCTTATTCCAAAAAAATCAAAAAAATCTGTCACTGTTATTCAAGAGTATATATATTTTTACTCTTTTTCAGTATTTTCATTCTTTTGGAGTGAAATTTCCAAAAAATTTAGAGAATTAATCTTTTAAAGAAAATGCGCGTAATAAATAAATTATTTTAACTGCATTATCCAAATCACTTGCATCCTAAGGAATGAGATCTAATCATTTTCGATCGTTGCACTATTATTAAGACGCACATTTAAGACGCAAGTTTTCTCACTGGTGCGCAGCAGAATGGACGTATACGCGCTTTTGCGGGCGGACGGGGAAGGGGGTGCGAGATAGAAACCCTTATTTATTTAGCACCCTACACTATTGGTCCGTGAGGGTTAAGCAGGATCTAATGGTTCTGTAAAAGGTCCTCGTGGGTACCGCACAGCGATTGGTCCGCGAAAGAGGACAGATGTTGAGTTGGGGACAGATGCGAGAGAGGGGTTCCGTGTCCTCGACCCCCCAAATGAATCGGTATCGTCACGCCCAAAAAATTCGTCGACGACCTATCCCGCGTTGCCGTCTCCTTTTTCCGTAGCCACGGTTTGCATGAGCGAAAAATTCAGGCAACGTGTCAAACCGTTGAGAAACGCATCACGCGCGAATAATTGCGGTCCTGTAACAGATAAAGAGGGGAAAAGCACGATTGAGTAGATCTCTTTTATATCAGACATTTACATTGTTCGGTAGATAGTGTTAGGATTACACTGAATTCTCTCGAAGCTGATTTATAAAAAGTTTAGACGGAGTCAAATATCCCGGCCTGGGTAAATCTTGGAAAATTGTACGAACTAGACTCATGTTAGATTCTTTCATTCACATTAAATTTGTTATAATTAGAATTTCAAACAGAATATGAAAATGTAAAATTCTTCTATCTCTATTTTTATATTAAGAAAGAGATTAGATTAAATCTTAATTGATCTACTCTCCTCACTAAATTCCTCGATAAACAAGTTTAAGTCCAAATAACAGGAATTGTATATACAGAGAGAGTAAAGTATTTGATACTTTACTCTTTGCATATATATAATTACATAGTTAAAAAAAGTATGGTTAGGAGATCCAGTTTTATAGTTATTATTATCTATAGATAAAAAAAAAATATTAGTAATAATAACCTTACATGTATAATTCTCTCAAATATGAAAAAATTATATTATAAATTATGATAACTTGAACTATTAATATAGTAAAATATTTCGAATGATAAATAAAAATAACCATTTTTATGTAATAAATGCAATCATCATCATAGAATATAATTATTTTTTTTAATATTTGCTAACTATTTATATTGTATAATAATACCTAAGAGATATGAAAAACCTTAATGCATGTTATAGTTGTAATGATCACATGTTGTAATTTTAATGTTGAAACAATTATAATGTGCACAATTGAAACAATTATAAATTTATAATTAACAATGACAACAATTTAAAGAACTAATATCTAGTTAGACTCCTTTAAATTAATAAAATTAATAATAATTACAATGTAAAAAAGACTATAGGAGTCGACGCTGGTTATAAAAAATAATTATTAATAATAATTTTTAATAATGAGCTCTATCATCTTGAGCTCAAGTCATCTTCAGCAAAACTCTCCATTAACGTAAAAAAAAAATTATTTTGCGATGCAATATCTCATTTTTTTTGCGTTAATAGATGAAGGGTTTTGCTGAAGATGACTCGAAATAGAGTTGAAACGTTCAAGGTTTATATATGTATCAGATATTATATTTGATTATTATTAAAAATCGCTTTTTTATAATCAGCGTTCTTATAGCTTTTTTTACAATTATTATTAATTTTATATAAATTTATAATAGACCCAAAAAAACTATAAATTATAGTTAAATATAGTTAATTATAGTTAAGTACTTGCAACCATTTTTTTTCTCTCAGTGTATATTTTATATATTGTTCGAGTATAAAATGTATACACAATTGTGTATATAAACACGAAGCTAAAGTCAGAAAGACATTTTTGATAAATAAGTAAAGAGAACGCGTCGTTCCTTCCTTCGTCGCCATCGCGTAGCTTCCTTTGGAGACATTATTCGGCAGCGAGTATTTAATTGAAATCACAGTACGACTGCGAGCACGATCTAATCTCCCATGAAAATGATATGGTTGATCCCATGGGGTCCAGCAGGGGTATCAAATAGGCTTTATATTGGTTCACACCCTCCCCAAGCGGGTTTGGGGATCGCTCACAAAAGCATATTGTACTACAACGAAAGCCAGTATCCCGACGTTGTACATGAAATTAGCTAGTATCTCGGCCAGGTCGTAACATTTACACTTCGCTAAATAAAGTTATTGTATGTATATTTCTCGTAGCATAATTACCGTGTCAGTGAAATGACATTTGCCTTATCATCGTTTCATATTTTACGTATTGTTTAAATTTAATCTTTCATTATGTCGCGTTAAATCGTGAATTATAGTAACAGTTTGTATATTCAATCGCTTCTATTTTCATAATTAATTAAATAAATTCTCTTATTATTTAGCGTCATGAAACAAAAGTTTAGGTATTGAAATAAAAGACATATTGTAGAGAGAAAAATTTATATCTGGAAAAGAGGGATGGAAAGAAAAATTTATATCCAAAGAAAAGTTCCATGTCAAGTTTAACAAGATAAATTCAGATTACGAGAGTTAACTGTCTAATTGTGATTAGAATAAAGTGTGATTAGAAGAACTATTAAAAAATCAATGCAAGCTAGCATCTGCTGGTAATCAACGTTAAGAGCAATCGATGTCGGCTGAATCGAATTGCAGCTGCAATTCGTTAACGTCAATCAAGTAATTGAGTCAGTTGATTACTAAACACTATACTTCTGCGTCACTCTATCTAACTATGTATTTTGATGACTACATCAATGATCTACGTAAATAATTCACGGAAAAGTGTATAACAAGGTTAATTTAATTAATTACAAAAAATTTCTTTTTGAATAATATTTCACATTATGTTAAAAATGTAACTTTTCTACAAATACTTCAAGATTAATATCAATTAGAAAAAAATAAGAAAGTGATAAAATAAGAATCTTTTAAAATACAAGAAAATGTCATCTTAATTTTTTTTTTTTTTTCTTTATTTTTCCAGTTCTTCAACAACCAGACTCGACGAGCCCGGCGATCTCGGATATGTCATTTCCGTCACAACAGGAGAACAGTCACGAATCATCGAAGGACGAAGAGTCACAGGACTTTGAGGACGAGCAACAGAATGGCAACGAGACGTCGCAACCCCACGAAACCGAGCATAAGAAACGCAAGCGACGCGTGCTCTTCTCCAAAGCGCAGACTTATGAGCTAGAGCGACGTTTCCGTCAGCAGCGTTATTTGAGCGCGCCCGAGCGAGAGCACTTGGCCTCTATCATTCGCCTTACGCCGACTCAGGTGAAGATCTGGTTCCAGAATCACAGGTACAAAACGAAGAGAGCGGCGAGTGAACGTGTTGAAGCCGGTGGCAGCGGTTGCTCGCCCAGAAGAGTCGCCGTGCCAGTGCTAGTGAGAGATGGCAAACCCTGCCAATCCAAGCTGATGGAACCTACTGCATATCCCGGAAGCGGCCAGGTCCCTATGGCGCCATATATACCACAGAAATATTGGTGGTAAAGTAGTTAACTGAACTGACTAGGATAAAAACAATCCAGAGCAATTTGTGGCGATTCACGCTAATCGACAATTATTGCGAAACGATATTGCAATTCCCGATTAAAATATTGTCGTGAACAAGAAGTCATAAACGAAGAGAACGAAGAAAGATGAAGAAGAAATTCAAGATGGAAGGTATGAATAATCTTAGCAGTGATGTTGAACATGTTAAAGTGTTAGAAGGTTCGTGATAATGCGATAGTAATAATAAATATGAATTCGATAATCATCGATGACATCATCGACGATATTATCGTCAAGAAAGAAAGTATAAATAAATGATTAACAAGCATTAGTTGGAAATAATTGACGGAATAAATTTTGGAACATTAGTTCTTAAGTTCAACTTCTCATGCATATCTCCTCTTGAACGTAATTACAGACATAGACATGAAATGAAAAGCTAAATCATTTCTAAGTTTGACAACGTGTTTAATCATCAGATGTATTTCGAGAAACATATACAATCGGACTTCTCAAAGTAAAATTGCTTGATGTACGATGTTTTACGGAACAAGTTTTACAAGAGTTTTACAAGAGTGTTTAACACGCGCGTCCAACGAACTCAAAGCTGAGCTAAAATCAGTTATTATAGTCCTAGAAAGATATTTCAAAATTGAATGAATTTGAAATTTTTCTTAGATATAAATTTTTTAACTTTTTCTTTCAATATATCTTTCATTCAATGTCTTTCAACTTTTTTTGTAATGCTAAAAAATGAAAATTAGAAAATGTTTTATCAATTGATATTTGTTGAAATTAATATATTTTTTGGTAAATATTTTATTATTTTTATAAATATGCGCAATGAAATGTAGTGCATAAACAGTTATAGGCGAGTATATCTTGCACATAAAATATAATAACAAAGAAACTATAATGAATTAATTGATCTACTTATATACGATTATATTCTGAAAAAATATTACAATGTAATTTTAACATTTTACAATGTAATGTTCCTCAAGACGAGCGATGTTCGCGATATATTAATTATATTCACGTACGACGTAATACGTAGCTTTAATACGTATACATGATTATGTACAATTTGAAGTAAATTTTACTTCAAACTGTTGACAAACCGATAAATTCGATAATTGACAAAACTTTATCGTTAAAGGCAAGCGCGAAAGATTTAATGTCACTTCGAAAAATAGTTCAACGAAGTTAGAGAAAAATCTCATAATTCCGCAAGCTTATATTTCTTCAACAGAAGATAATTAAAATCCACTGTGACCACTTGAAACTTTTTACAAGTGTTGATGTTTATGAAGGAATTAGAAACAGTAACGAATATTGTCAGAAACCAAAGATCACTTTCACGTCTAATGAATTAGTTTGACGTGAATAATTATAAATAAGGTAAATAATTATAAATAAATAGTTATAAATAATTATAAATGTAAGAAAAACGCGTAGAGAAATTTTAGACGATACCGATGTTGCGTTCTTACGAAATAAAATATTTGTACAAAACTGTTACACTTTAAAATGATTCACGTATGCAGATTTTAAATTAGTCCTTAAAGCGTGTGTCACGAGAAAGAATATCCTGTAAGTGCAAGGAATTCCAATTTAATCATAAAAAATTCAATTTAAGCATAACATCGTCTAACTTGTACCGTGTAATAGCGTTTTTTCATTGGCAGAACTAGAACACATTCAGTGCAGTTTAAAGTCGTTGTACAAATCGATATAAAGATACATTTAATAAAAACGTATAGAAACAAATTAAAAACCGCAAAATATTCAATGCATTTTATTATGCTATTTGATAAAATACATATTGGGCATTTTATCAATTAAGATATCCCACTTTTACATTTAGATTAGAATAGTATTCAACAGCTTTAATGCACTAAGTGCGCTCTAGTTCTGTCAATGAAAAACGTTATAAGCATTCATGGTGGAACGATAATAAATTACATGATGGATTACTGCCACAATGACTCGATTCGTGGCTCAATCGTGATCCGCTAATTCGATCGTCGAAAAATTTTTATGATACAGATATTTCTTCACGATTTACATACATAGCTAATGTAAACTGTGCACGGTTTTTCTTCATATCGTCAAAGAATTCGCATATATGACATTTTGCAAGATTCTCCAGATAAAATTCTATATCTATAAGATAGCTGTATACTTTTATGATTCTATACTTTTCGATATTTTTCATTTCTCATAGTAGATTTTCGTGAAAAAGAAAACAAAGATCAATTTCCGAAATATATAAAATGTACGGAATTTTTATAGCTGAATATCCTTGTCGAAATAAATTCAGCTTTATTAATAATTTCGTTATATACATACGCATTTAAAAAGTATTAAAAGTTTGATTAAAACGAAAAGAACTTTGGTACGAGAGTAACATTTTGTCGATATTAGAATGAACCTTGTAAATCATTATTTTAAATTTAAAATATTTAAATTTTAAAATACCTGTACTATACTGATATAGTGATGTTTCAGGATGTAGTAATGTTTACTACGATATTACAGTAATTAAAGAACATATGCGAAGTCCTAACATTGCGAGTAATCGCAAGAATATCCAATGTTTCGTCCTTAATGAATTAGTTGTAGATTAATTGTATATATGTAAATTGTGTATAATATATAATAAACTAATATATCAGAAGCATATTTAATAAATCTGGATCTTAAGATATCAAATTTTCACTGTTTGTTTCTTCTTATCAATTTTATCACAGAAAAATAATCCATGTCCTCCCCTCCCTCTCTCTCTCTCTCTCTCTCTCTCTCTCTCTCTCTCTCTCTCTCTTTCGTTTCGTTTAAAAGAAGAAAACGTATTTAAAAAAGAGATTTGAGATTCATATTCTGCCAAAAAGTAAACATTTTTTAAATAAATTTTAAAGTTTTTTAATAAATGATTTCTCTCGATCAATACGAGATTCTTAACTCTCAAAATAATAATTACTTTGTTTTTAAAATAATTGCTTTGTTTCAATATTAATAATAATATGTTACATAAATTCTGTTACAAAATTTTAAACAGCAAAAATAATTTTCTTTGCATCATTTACAAATACAATTAATATAAAAAACATGGCAGAAGATTTAAAGATTTCATTCTAATATCGTATTGTTTCTTTTAGTAGAGAATATAATGAAACAATACATTTGAAACAATATCTTCTTTTCTCTCTCTCTTTCTCTCTTTCGTTCTCTTTTCTCGATCGTTCTAGAACCGTTTCCCTTTTTTCGGGACACGCCGGAAGTCCGCGTAGCTTGAGTGACAAGCTTCCGGTTTCCGTTTCCGAGCAGCCATCTTGTTACCGGTTTAGATTTCCTGAGGGCGCCCCATCGAGTCTCGATGGGGACTCACGTTTGATTTCTGCAACTCCCAGAAAAACTTTTCATTATTTGCATTATGACGCCACATACGTGCACTCGAAGAAATTGATAGAAAATTCAAATTTCTTATCTTATAATTTCCTTTCGCGATTAAAATCGATCTCCAATCACGATATCTAGTCCGATTATAATCATATAAAACATGATTGATATCTTTGGGGAAATTTTATTAATCAGTTTCGCAAAAAAACGATAATATATCAAAACAAGTATTGCTTGTATCTATACGAATTATCAAGCGATAATCTATCACAAAAATTTTTATCTCCTACAATTTAAATTATATTTAATAATCTATTATCAAATATAAATAAATTATATTTAACTATTATAGGTGTATGTTCTATCTTTTTATAATTTAAAACTGGAATGTTAAGTAAGTATTATAGAGAAAGTTGAAAATTTATAATAATCACAAGCTCAATTTTAATAGCAAATTTTTTTTATCAATTTGAGAGACTGATTTTTTTCTTAGCAAAAATGTTGCGTGGGAATTATTATTTATCACAATTATGTGTGTATTATTTATCACAATTATGTGTGTGTAATATTAAATTAAAGTTAAAGTGTGTGTAATATTTAATAAAAGTTCACTAAAAATTATAAAATATTGTTTTGTGATCGACTTGATCCTATAAAATATAAAGTGCAGAAAGGCATTTTTTCATGCTTAACATAATAATTATTGAACATAGTGTCTCAATTTTTGACAGAATAAAATTTTTTTTAATTCAAAGAACCTCATTAACATGAAGATCGCAGGTAATCTCGTATATTATATTGCAAGTATATGAACCATATGAGACATAAATTAGGATGCACTTAGGAATATCTATCGCTGTTCCACTTCTATAGGAACAGGACGATACAAAGGGTTTCCCTCCGCGTCCCTTATCTCTCCGTCCCGCATCACGGCGGATGATGTAGCGAGGTAAATGGAGTGGACAGCGGGCAGCATATGCTTTGTGGCGATTTCTCCTGCTGTGTACAAAACGAAACTGTCCCCACACGTAGAATATTCCGAGCACGAACGGCGATGTGCGCGAAATGTCGGCGGTGCGCCGAACCGGAAGCGGGAGATAACATTCAATCCGCTACCGAGCCCGAATCCATGATTTATATGACCAGCCGTAATCTATAGATTTGGACATAGTCCACCGACTTTTACTCTACTCCTTGCCTACCGCGGTTGGCAAGGAGCATGTTTTACTGCACGCTTAGTGCACGAAATCAAGATTTGACCTAATAAACTTTTAGTCAAACTCTATCTTTAGAAATATTTTTTATTTATGCCACAATTTTTAGCTCTTATATTTTTAATAAATATTTTACAGTTCAACGAAAATTATTGTAAACCTAATGATATAATTTATAAATATATTATTAAAATAATTGTTATTTATATATGGTAGCACATTGCGGAGAACGGTTCGTTTAAATTATCAAATATCAAACTACATCGCGAAGCGCAAACATTATGAAGATGCATACGAGAAGATAAAAATTTCGCAGGGTCAGTGTATCACGCCAAAGCCATGCCAATCAATAGACGAAAATAAATTGATAGTTTGTCGAGCGACGGGACGTCCCCTAATATTTCCGAATGTAATCGAGGGGGTGTGCGCGCTCTTCGAGAACCCAGGAAAAAAAGGAAAAATACAAACGACAAAGAAGGTGGAGGAGGATGAAGAGAGAGTGGTGGAGGAGAACGAATGAAGAAAGAGAACGAGGATGAGAACGCCGAGGAGAAAAAAACGAAAAAAAACTTTGACAATGCAGTTATAGGCACACGAAAACAGGGAGAACGAGTGGACGACGTGTTCCGGGGGTGTTTTATTGGCTGATTTCCGTGGGGTGGAAATTTCGTATAATATACGATATGTTTGCGTGGACTCTTTTAACCCTCTACCCTTCGCGGAGACTATCGCAAGCCTCTCTTAATCGGTTCGTAAAACGTATGGATACGTAAAACTACGACCGATGAATTGCGCGAACAAGATATCCGTATGTTCAATCTATCTGGATATATATTTTCTTTTTTATAGTTCATGATATATCACTGATTAATTAATTTTTATAAGTCTCTTTACTTAAAAAGAGAGAATACATTGAGAGAAAACTTTGGTATTTGTGATAAATAGTTGCATGATAAAATAATTATGGTTAAGCGC